AAACAGGGTGGAGGTTGTAGCTAATTGAGTGGAGTGCTTGTCTATCCTGCAGGAAGCCTTGGGTTCCATTCCTAGTTCTGTATAAACCAGGCACAGTAGAGGCAGGAAGATCAGAAGTTCAAGGTCACCTTTGGCATATACCAAGTTCAGGGTCGCCCTGAGATATGTGAAATCCTGCCCCCCGCCCCCCCCCAAAAAAGAAAATTAAAATGAGCACCATAGCATGCACTCTAAGGCATATAAATGAAAGGTGGGGAGATGCCACAGAAGTCACTTGCTTTGGAATTGCCTTGTCGAGGATGTGACGCTAGACTGGGTCTTGAAGGACACTCATTAGATGCTTCCTAGGCAGAGAAGAGTGTTCCAGTCCGCATGGAACAAGTCTCTAACACAGGTGCCACCGTGGGGAAATGGCCCAGGACATACCAGGAGTTCCCAAAGGAAACCGTGTAGTCTCCAGCTTTGTGTCATTCAGGCCTCTGTCCCTGGGAAGGATGAGATGATGTACTACATCCTTGTTTAACACTGAGAAGCCCGAGGCTTCAGCTTGTCCCTGTTCTGACCAAGGACTTCACACAGCTTGGGGCCTGGACTACAGCCCTTTGGTGACAAGTCTGGGACTCCTTCCAAGAATGCCCTGCTGTGCTCCACACCTTGAAGGGTTGGCCAGCATCCTAGGAAGAGTCTGTGGGCCAGTACCCAGCCCTTCGACATCACCCACCTCCCTTCTCTTATCCTAAACTGGAGCACTGGGGCAGCAGGTGAGCCCCAGCGAGCCAGGTCACAACCTGAAGTTCGCAGGTGCCACTTCCCAGGCCTTCCCAGGAGGCTGGGAGGAGACAGCTGCCAGGTCAAACAAGTCCAGGGCAATCTGGGAGGGAAGCTGGAACTCGCGCAGGCAGAAAGTGAAGGACGAGGCAGCTTCCCCATTCAGAGCTGGAGAGGTAAGCCACAGTGACCGCCAGGCATGCACCTCATGCCTCTATTGAGCCAAGGTATCTTGTTTCAGCCAACCTGTCCTTGTATTCCTAGCACCTCTCCAAGACTGGAAGCCAGGCAGGAAACCCTGTCTCCCAAGGGCAAGCCCCCCCCCCCCCTCTGTAGGAGAATCAGAATAAGAACAGACCAAACTGGCACTCACTCTGAGCAACTGAGCCCTAACTAAATAGCTACAGGCTTAGCCCATATCTACTTCTCTCCTGGAGTATCCAGGGCCAGGAGCCCCATCTCGGGAGAAACTCTGGCTGGCCCCAGCATCTCCCGAACAGTGGTTCAATCAGTTCTGGAAACAGGAACTAGCCAGAGATCCCAACATAAGGCCGGAGACATTTGCCTCTTTATCATGATAGGCTGTGCCCAGATTAGTGCCTGGCACCTGCAGTGTGCTTATTAAATATTTGTCGGGTTGACAAGTTTGCCCCTTTTGCCAAGTCCTTATTTATGTACGTGTGTATATGTGTAGGTGCACATGGTGGGGGGGTCTAACTCTGGTCATCAGGCTTGGCAGCAGCACTTTTACCTAATGAGCTACCCCACAGTCTCTCTTTTGTCAAATCATCATCTTCCTCTTCCTCCTCCTCTTCTTCTATGTTTGTTTTTAAATTTTATGTGTATGAATGTATACCACAGAGTGCCTAGAGGTTAAGGATGGTTGTGAGCCACCGTGTAGGTGCTGGGAATAGGACCCAGGTCCTCTGCAAAAGCAACAAGTACTCTTAATCTCTCTGAACCATTCCTCCAGCACCCTCTTTAGCCAAATCTAAAACAAAAAATTTGTGGTCGTTGTTTTGTTTTTTCAGACAGGGCTTCTCTGTATAACCACTCTTACTGTCCTGGAACTCGCTCTGTAGACCAGGCTGGCCTCAAACTCACAGAGATTCACCTGCTTCTGCCTCCCAAGTGCATATGCCACCACTGCCTGGCAAGGAGTTTTTTTTTTTTTTAATAAAAGTACCTTTCCCTTTGGTTTGCCCCCACAAGCACAGTGGTTAGTGTGTGGCCTTTCTTACTTACTCCCCTTGTGTATTCATTTATGGTCCTAGCTGCTCTCAACATAGTCTTCTGCTACAAGCTACCTTGTACTTCTCCCGACCCCCACCCCAAGTCCTCAGCCCCTTCACGCTCCACTCTGTTCTGCTAGCCGGGAAACCCACAGAGATGACCAACAAATGTGCAGGAAGGTACTGCCTCCGAGTCCAAGGGTAGCATATGTTAAGGTACTGGGGAAGTCACTTGGGTCACATTCAACCATGTCTCAGGCATTTCTCAAGTCTCTGATTTGTGCTAAGTTCTCAAGAACTTAACGCAGATGAATCTGAACTTAAAACAGTATGTGTCTTGTGTCCAGAGGATTTTGCCCTCCCTAGGGGAGAGGGACTGAGGCTGTGCAGGGCTACACCGTGAGGGGGCGTGGTAACATGTGTGAAGGCTCTGAGCTGAACTCAGGTTGCCAGGGAGGGAGGGAGAAAGCCACAGAAGACAAGGCACAGAAGGCCTGCAGAGAGGAGGGCAAGGGAAGGTTCGATGCCATGCTAAACTGCGACCTATGAATTTATTAATTCATTTAGTCAGACACTGGAATTCTAGTCTATTCTAAGTCCACTGCCAGGGTGTAAATGAACAGCGCTTTTTAAAAGGCTTTAACATCTATTTATTCATTCATGGGGATGTGTCATGGGCACTTTGTGGAGATCAGAGAACAGCATTTTTTAAAGATTTATGTGTGTGTGTGTGTGTCTGTGTGTGTGTGTGTGAGTGTGTGAGTGTGTGTGTCTGTGTGTGTGTGAGTGTGAGTGTGTGTGTGTGTGTGTGTGTGTGTGTGAGTGTGTGTGTGTGCGCTTTGCTGGCATTGGCCAAAAATGGGTGTCTGATTCCCTGGAGGTGGAATGGTAGGCAGACTGTGAGCTGGCCATTGTGGATGCTGGGAACAGAACTTGGGTCCTCTGGAAGAGCAAGCAGCAAGTGTTCTTAACAGCTGCAGCATCTCTCCAGTCTCTCGGAGAGAAGCTTGCAGGAGCTGGTTTTCTCCTTCCATCATGTCTGTCCATCTAGGGATGGACTCAGATTATTATCAGGTTTGGCAGCAAGCACTTTCACCCACTGAACTGTTTGGCTGAATGTACAATGTAGTGTTTAATAAATACTAATATTCCCCACCTTTATGGAGTCAATAGTCTATGGGTCCCAAAGGTTGTATTGCAGCTTCTCCCATTGAGAGATAGCTGAAAATGAGAATGTATACAATCAGATGGAGCACAGCTTTAATCCCAGCACTCAGAAGACAGACAGAGGCAGGCGGTTATCTGTGAGTTTGAGGTCAATCTGGTCTACAAAGGGAGTTCCAGAACAGCCAGGGCTACACAGAGAAACCCTTGTCACAAAAAACCAAAAAGGAAAAAAAAATATAACTACAAAGAGTGGAAGCAGCTTATCTATCAATTAATATATATTTAAGCAAATTATGGTATGTCTATATATCAGAATCTTATGCAGCGATTAAAATGAAGTTTGCAAGCATAGGAGAAAAAATTCATAGTTCTAAAAGCCTTATGAAAGCACATTTTCAATACTCCTTGGAAAAAAAAGTTAAGAATCTAGACAGAGATTCACAAAGAACCACAAAGAAAAACTAGAAGGGAAGGCTATAAAGTGGGCCTAATTGATTAGCATGTACCAAGCCCTGGGTTCCACTCACAACATAGTGTAAACCTGGGGTGCTGTGCATTCCTGGAATTCCAGCACGTGGGAAGTAGAGGCAGGAGGATCAGGAGTTCAGTATCATCTTCAGCTACACATCAAGTTTGAGGTCAGTCAAGGCTATGTGAGACTGTCAAGCCTCAAAAAAGAGGGAGGGATGGGGCTGGAGAGATGTTCAGCAGTTAAGACCACTGGCTGTTCTTCCAGAGGACCTGGGTTCAATTCCCAGAACCCCTGGCAGCTCACAACTGTTTGTAATTCTAGTTCCATGGGAGCCGACACCCTCACAAAAACATACCTGCAGGCCAAACACCAATGCACATAAAATAAATTTAAAAAATGTTTGGGAAAGATATCCCCAAATATTAACTGTGGTTGATTATGCCTCTGTAGAGCCATCTTCCTGTCATTTTAGGCTTTTGCACCAAGCAGTTTTTTCTATTAAGCACATTTTTACCTTTTCGGTACAACATTTGTCAAGAAAGGCTGGGTGAAGGGATACATACCTGTAATCCACATTTAAGAGGTGGAGGTAGGAGGATCAGGAGTTCAAAGTCATCCTCAGGAAAGAGACGGGCCTGGACTACACTTGACCATTTTGGGGTTTTTGTTTGTTTGTTTGTTTTATTTTGTTTTTTTTTGAGATATTTTTTGTATGTAGCTCTGGCTGTCCTGGAACTCATATGTAGACTAGGCTGGACTTGAACTCAGATCTGGCTGTCTCTGCCTCTTAAATGCTGTAATTAAAGGCATGGACCCTCATGCCCTGCCACACTTGATTATCTTAAAACAATGAAAGGAAACAAGATGAAGAAAACAAGAAATACAAGTGGACAAAGCTGGGAGGGATTGGAGGGGTAAGACAGACAACCTATATACCTGATGTGATTTAGGCATCATAATACCCAGAGGGCAGGGCTGCTTGTCTGTGTTGCTGTAGGACAATCCCTTTAGTGTTGCTGATCAGGCCCCTCCTGCTTATCAGTGAAGGACAGAACACCTGGGGATGTGCATCTGCTTTATGTGACAGATTGGACACTCTGGTTGGTTTGATAAAGCACCATCCCTAGGGGGACTGTCTTGCTGTGTGACCTTGGACAAGTCAGCCCACCCTCCAAGGTGACTCTTTACCTGGCTGCTCCATTCCTCTGGAGGATATTTCCCCCTCATGTTTCCAGAAAACAGGATGAACAGGAAGATGGCAGCAGGCAAGCTGGCTCTCCTCCCAACATCCTTTTTCTTTGTGTCACTCTCTTCTGAGTGCACTGGGGACTAATACATATGTATCTGTTATCTCTTTCCAGGAAATGATCGAAATGGCTTAGATTTCAACAGACAGGTAAGAACTTGCGTCAGAAGACATCCATCCTGTAAAGTCTGGGGGCATCAGACGAATACAACATGTGTTGGTGATTATTCTCAGTCATCTAGCTTTCAGGATGAAAGGACCTGGAGTCCATCCTCCTTGTCACCACCATGATCCAGAGTTGGAGTCTCCCTTCTAGAGAGCTCTGATCAGTGGGGCAGCTTTTGGATGAATTCTATTGTGTCTGTAGTTGGGATAAATACCAGCAGAGCTTCAGCTCCCCAGGTATTGCCTGAGCCTCATTGGATCTATGATGGACTATCTGATGGCGGAGAGGAGGCTACAGAGCCCCAAGGAACAAGGTGGCTGTTCTTCCATAACTCTTGACTGAAAGCAAGATGATGGAGGCCGAGGCAGGGAAAGAAGCATTCAGACAGGAGCACTCAGGGGCTGGAGAAGCAGCTTGGTGGCTGGGGGTGTACAGTGCTTGCCCAGCATGCAGGAGGCCTTTGGTTCTGTAGTACCAAAGAAAGTGAACATGGTGGCATATGCCTGAAATCTTCACATCTTAGAGAAGGACAAAGGAAGATCAGAAATTCAAGGTCATTCTTTGCTACACAGGAAGTTCAGCTGTTTCAAAACAAGAGTATGTAAGCACGCTTGGGGAATGGAGGCACTAGCTAGCTTAGAGCTTTGGAAGGCATCCAAAGTAGATAGTTAGACTTAGCTTTAGAAGGGCTTTACACAGAATCACATGGGGTTGGAAGATAACAGAGAAATCAATGGAAATGGCTAGAGAGAAAGTTGAAATGACATGTCCATCTAGGTGACAAGCTGATGAGAAGCCTGGAGGAGGGAAGTAAGGCAAGATGTGTTGGGGAACAGGAGGCTGGGCTGATGATAACAGTGGGAAGCTGGGGGTAAACACAAGGCCAGGAAGCCTGGGTGTTTGCTCCCATTTCTGCTGGTTTCTAGCTGGTTAACTTTAAGTATAAGCATGTGTGTGTTTTGTGTGTGTGTGTGTGTGTGTGTGTGTGTGTGTGTGTGTGTGTGTGTGTGTGTGTGTGTGTATGTGTAGGGGTCTCAGATGATCTCCAGGCCCCTTCCCTATACTCTTGATACCCTAGTCCCAGCTTGGGTGGAAATGTGGCAAGGAGCTGGGTCAAATGTACATATGTTCCTGTGTTCTCTTGTTTGAAGAGGGAATCCAAAGTTACTGATAACATTTCCTTAAAAGGCTGTTCATTCTAGAAGCATCTTTCATGGTTAAAAAGAAGATAGTCTAGAGACCTAAGCCAAAACCTCTCAGACAGGCAAGTTTGTTCATTAGGAAGGCTGAGAAACTTTCTGCTGAGAAAACCAACTGCTCTTCCTCTGTCATGGAGAATAAGGGTTGTAGCCCATTAAAGAGGGATCTGGGTTACTATGAGGAAGGACTCCCAGCCTATGCAGTATAACAAATTCTGGAATAACAAGAGGAAGGCTAGCTGGGCGTTGGAGGCCCACACCTTTAATCCCAGCACTCAGGAGGCAGAGGCAGGTGGATCTCTGTGAGTTTGAGGCCAATCTGGTCTACAGATCGAGTTCCAGGACAGCCTCCAAAACAACACAGAGAAACCCTGTCTTGAAAAAAACCAAACCAAAACAAAACAAAAAACAAAAACAAAACAAGAGGAAGACTACAGAATTAACTTCTTGCTCAATGTCGTCAGATAGGAGACAGATTCTTATCTGAGAGAAAATTCCAGCCAGTCAGACATGGGGGAGGCAGGAAGATTATTATGAGTTTGAACCCAGTTTGAGGTGCAGAGTTAGACCCTGTCTCAACTAACTCTCCCCAACCCTTAAGAGGTGAAGGGAGCGGCAGGGTAGTGGGGGGGCACTCAACCAGGAAACTTCAATGGACGTCCAAGGGTTTTGTAACTCAGAAGGAATATTGAGTAGGTTGAGGCCTCGTGACCCTGACTCAGCCTAGGTCCACTTCACACTACCACCAGACTTGGATAAGTAGTCAAGGGTGTGAACTCTCACCAAAAGGTGACCACGCCGAGGAAGCGCTTTGCTGCGGGATCCAGGAGTGGGGCGGGATGGAAGCGACTTTGGAGCAGCATTTGGAGGACACAATGAAGAATCCATCCATTGTTGGAGTCCTGTGCACAGATTCACAAGGACTTAATCTGGGCTGTCGTGGTACCCTGTCAGACGAGCATGCTGGAGTGATATCTGTTCTAGCCCAGCAAGCAGCTAAACTAACCTCTGACCCCACTGATATTCCTGTGGTCTGTTTAGAGTCGGATAATGGGAACATTATGATCCAGAAACACGATGGCATCACAGTGGCAGTGCACAAAATGGCCTCTTGACAGCTCATGTCAGTTCTCCAGCAACCCGTCATAGGGATTCAATCCTATGTGTCAGTTAACTTGTGAAACTATTAAAGTTCCAGGGGTTAGGCCATTCACCTAGTGTCCAATGTGGACTTCCTTACTTATATGACAACCAGTTACGAAGATATTAGTTAAAAAGGATCACAGTTGTTTTGTTTGGGCTTTGGTCATTTTGCTTTTTGGAGATCATCACTGCAGTCCAGTATTTGCAGCTTATCAATGCCTAGAACTGTGTAGCCCAGGCTCAAACCTGTGGTCTTCCTGCTTCAAAGTCCTGCATCCTGGGAATATAGTCTTTTGTCACCAAGGTCCAGGTCACTTTGTATATAGAACTTTGTTGTGATCAATAAATCCATTCAGAGGAAAAAAAAAAAAAAAGGCTGCCACGCCAACTGCCAGGCAGAGTGTTTGGTCACCTGTGTGATGTAGCTTGAAAAGTCCTTGTGCTGGACAGCCTAGGTGTCCACATGGAGGTCCTGGCCCTTTGCACATTTTTCAGCGTGGTCTTGCCTCTGGGTAACACTGACAGGAACAGATGAGACCGAGTTTTCATCTGGGGAGGGGGTTGGAAGGAGAGGCATGCAGCCTAGGTAGGCATTGCACACTTCCTTGGGGCTTTGCTCATATGCCTATTCACAGCCTCTTAAGGCTCCTCTTCTCTGCCTCCAGTCCCTCCAAGGCCTTCAGATCTCAGTATCTACACATTCAGAGCTTCATTCCACCTCAGCCCCTGCTTGGCACTCATGTCTACTTCCTCAGTACTTCCCAAGGGAAGGCAGCCCACAGCCACTGATCCCCAAAGCTGCAGGCGCTTTATCTCATATCATTCCTACTGCTCAGTCCAGGAGATAATTATGTGTTGCTATCCTGACTCTACAGGTGAGGAAACTGCCTCTAAGGCAACCACGCCCTTTTCAGCAAGGACCTGAGAGATTAAGCAATTTGACAAAGGTCATGCAGTTGGTCAACTGGCTGGGCCAGGATTTGAACCCACGCCTCTGATTCTGGAACTTATTTTCCCTTGGTTCCTTTGCTGAATCCTCCTCTGCAACTCTCCATCTATATACACCATCCTTGGGGAGAGGCCTGGGAGCAGAGACTGCAGATGACCTCATTATGACTAAATGGGAGGTAGAGGGAGTGGGGAGAGGACTGGAGGAAAGCGTGGTTATGCTCACTCACAAACAAGATGTTATCAGACTCCCCAGAGTGGAAGTCTGCTGTCCTTGGTGTAGTCCCTGTGTAAAGTCCCAGACTACCTGGTGCAACTAGGAGTTGCAGCCTGGAGCTGGATGGATGACAGTTCTGAAGTTGCATGAACCAGGGGTGTTGAGTCACCCACTGTGTGTTAAGTGTGGCCACGCTGAGCCAGTAATCTTTAGGAGATAGTTGTATGCAGGCAAAGGACCCAGGAATAGAGGTGCCTCTTAGTTCCAGGACAGGTACAATGGGATTGAAGGTAGCAGGCAGGGGTCAGATGCCTGGATGGAAGCAAGTTGTGGCCTCCAGTGTTGCCAGCCCTTTGTTAGTTGCTGGCCTTCCATGTGCCTCTCCCTTTTGGGCCTCAGTTTCCTCATGAACAAAATGAATAGGTTTGGATATAATGATCTCTAAGATTCCTATAGTCTATGCTAAGAAACCACGAATGAGCCGGACTTGGGCTTCCACTTTTTGAGAGAGAAATTGCAGCCTGAAAAGAGACTTTTGTAAGGAATGGTGGCACACTCTGTGTGCTGGTCATGAAGCTCAGAGCTTCTTCAGGAAGTAGGGACTCAGGAAGCATTTAAAACATAACTAATAGCAGTCAAGGGCAGAGCACTGATGAGGCACATGGTGAGAAAGAGGAAGAGGAAGAGGACGGATTGAGAACTGATGCTGGAAAGGTTAATTGGAATGGTGTTGTAATGGATAGAGATGGGTAAGTTTACAGGCAGGAATCAGAGCAAAGATGCTGAGTGTATCATCATCTCATTTCACCTGGACTCAGATCCTGGCTCTGTTGTTGTATGATTGTGTGGCCTTGGGCATGCTCTTCTATCTCCTTGTGGCTCAGTCTCCTCATCTGGAAGATGGGGAGAATAATGAACCCTGTTACATGGGGCAGTTGTGGAGATCAAAGGTGACATGAGCATGTGCCCCTTACACAAGAACCTGAACACATAGACCATAGCATTTTCTGTGACTAGTGCATCATTGGATATGAAGAGTTCCAGATTTGAGTGAATCCACTTTGAGATATGATCAGGGGTGTTAGGGCGACAGGTTGGACGTGGATTGGAAAAGAGAGGGGTGAGTAAGATGTGACCTTAAGGCCTCCTGAGCATTGGTGGGACTGCCATCCAAGGACAAGAAGACAGACCCAGGGCGGGTTCATCCAGTGGCAGGTGGAGGAGGGATGACGGGATAGGGGGTACAGGTACTCCATAGGTGGTAAGAAGTTTGGAATGGAGCCCAAGCTGGACATGGGTCAGGACTGGGGCTATCCTGACTCTGACTCCATGAAAAGATGGGGTGGAGAGAAGGGCTTCACTCAAGGAAGTGAGAAGGAGCTTTCAGAGGCAGGCTAAAGACTGGATGCCTGTAGGTGAATCCAAGAAGGGATGGCGAAAGGGAGTAGAGGAGAACCACATGGAGGCAGGGGAGATT